GACTAAATCCCATTATATATTTTCAAATATCATAACGTGAAGAAGTACTAAAGGGTGTTGTCTCGGGTATCCCGAAAAATACTTTTTGAACAACTTTTCCCCTTTATTTCTGTGCTTTGTGTATCACTCGATCGTTGCTGTCAAATCTTATTTGAAATTTAATGCTATTGTGGGCGCAGCAGTAATGCGTCATGCATTTACTACGTCTGGCAGACTTTAACAAACCGAGGGGCGGAAAAAATGTCAAGTTTACGACCAGAAATTTGAAAAAAGTGAAGTTTTTTTTTTATTTTGGCAGACCGAGGGATTAAATTGGCTTATCCCTTGGAATGACTTAATATGAGTCGTGTAAGAAATTAGTAGAAGAACTAGTAGAAGTGGCGATATAAATGTGCGATATAAGGAATCCACGCTCACTCCATACATGTCTGTAACTTTAATTCTTGGTGTATGCTTCCTTCCCGAGTAAGTGTTCGTGACTTATATATCAGTTTGTATGTCTGATCCGCCTGAAACTATTTTTAAGCTGGTCCCTGTTTTTTTTTTTTTTTTTTTTTTTTTTCATGTGCCTTATAGGTCTCTGAACAGTCATACTTCTACTACGTCAATGATGGGATCCATGGGTCATTCTGTATCATTAAGTCATTTATGGCTGATAAGCTGGTTGGAAATTTCCACGTCTTAAAGGTATGTATCTGAGACAATAATCACAAAGAATATTTATATGAGGTTTCACTAATTTTGGGTAAAATTTGGTAACCAGATTTACTGATTGAGTGACAATGCAGTTGGTAAAGGGTGTATTATCTTAACATTTCGGTTATAATCCAAAAATGTAAATGGCTATTTCCCCCTTTTTTATTAAATGAATATAGAGCAATGAACACAGTTATGTTTTTATTTTTAAATATCCTGATATGTATATCACGATACGCTGTGTAATCAAATTTGGATCATTATAGGACGACGTCCAAATGCCGGTCTACCAGAGCACCTTGTGGGGTCCAACACTCAACCCTGATGATCTCCTGGCACAGAACATCCAACTGCCCGAACTGGACATAGGAGACTGGTTGTACGTGCCTAACATGGGGGCGTACACTATTGTGCTTGCATCCTCCTTCAATGGGATTGCTCCGCCGGAACTATTTTATTTTGCGTCTGATGAAATCACCTCCGGACTCGGTGATTAGGGGAGACAGTTAGGGAGTTTTTATTCCTGTCTTGATTGGAAAACATATATATCACATGTTGAAAAAACATGGGAACAATATCAACTAAAACGTATAAAATTATCATAAAAAATTAGAAAAAATCGCCCATTGCTTCAAACTGTTTTAATCCTCATTTTTATCTGGGTCATTTTTATACCACACCGATAACTAGCGTTGTCGTCGGCACAGCATATTTTATACCTATCAGCTAGGTAGTAGGCATTTTATATTCAGCGTACTTATGTGTATAAACAGTAATTTGTTCACATGTTAGCTGCATGCAAGTCCGCCAGGGCTCCGTAACTCGAAAGCATCGCGAATTGCGACCGAGCGCAAGCGCCTCTATTCCATAACTGGAGATTTACTCGCCCCATGTAATAGCCTAGCCTCGAAATGAAAGGTGATATCGCCATCGCAATTCGCGATGCTTCCGAGTTACGGAGCCCTGGAATAAAAGCGCTACCTATATACCATATATATGTGTCAGGAATATAGGTCCCATAATAACAATATTTTCTAAAGTTCTGCATACCGTTCGCACTAACACATCAGTAAATTCCCTCTCCACTTTCTTTTTTCTGCAATTATTATTTTGTCATTTGATGCATTTTTGCCTGCTATAATTGGGTTACGATATAAAAATGGAGACAATATCACATGGAAGCAGTTGTCTCAGTTCTACATTGAAAGCTGTTCCTAAACTATATTTCCATAATCTGTTAACGTTAACATTTTACATGTTCTTTTAATAATATTTACGGTAGGTCCCTTTCACTTTACAAACATGTATTTAAAGTATAAGAAATAAAGGTTTGCATTGAAATCGAGTTAAAAAACCTCGAAGAAATCTTACAATGAAATATCATAAAAAGGGCTCCACGCTGTGAAACCAAGTCATTAAAATCAGTCCAATCCATTTGAAATACAACTGCTGGTAGATACACGTTCGCTTGGTTTGATTCAACGTTATACACGAACAAAGTGGAGTTGACTGAAGAAAAACAAGAATATGATCAACTCATCCAAGCACTACACTATCTTAGTTCATAAATGGTTTCTTGTTTCATGTTGGGTTCTAAACAATATCGACCTCACCATTTTCGTTCTAAAACCAACTACAGGAAGTAGACGTTTAAAACGTAATTCAATATCTATGTCAGACTCAATTAAACCACAGACCTCAAGGGTGGATCCAGGATTATTTGAAGGGTGGGTGGATGGGAAGCCAACCCCTCCCCCTCTTGGCGTGGAGTTCGGGGCCTGCTGAAGGGCCCGAAAATCTTAGTATTTTAGAGGTTTAGTTCTATGATTCAGCTAGTCTAAATTCTAATTTGAAGAGGGGTCCAAGAATCGAAGAGGGGTTAGGACCCCCCGACCCCCCCCCCCTCCTCTAAATCCGCCACTGCACCTATTCTTTGATTTGTACTCTGAACTCTTGGTGGTGTACAAAACAAGTGAGGGCAAACAAACTGTTAACTTCCTTCAATCAATCTTAGAACATTTTAGCTTAAATGTTCCTGTTTAGGACTTGATATAACGCATTCATCTTAATCTTCATATCTAAGTACATGTAGGCTCAGTTGTTTTTTCTTTTCCTTATATCTCAGTCAACGGAGAAAAAGACCAAATGCGAGTAAAATCTATCGCCTTTTTTGACGTGGCAACAGTATCTCTCTGCAACATTGTCAATATGTCTACTTCTGCTGTTGTAATTACTAGTATGTTAGTTGCATCAGTCTGGCATCTTGGAGGAGCAAAAAGTGTTGACGACACTGCTTTTAACAAACTCATGGATAGGGTTCGTAGCTTAGAAAGTGTGCTTCAGGTCCAGGGCCTCGAGAATTCACAATTTGAGACAGATATCAAGCTAATGAAAAAAGAGAATCAGCATCTTAAGGTAATGTAAATACCCAACAGTATTTCATCATTATTAAATTATTTTTGAAAGATCACCTTAAAACTCATTTATTTATTTGTTATTAAATCTTCCATCCAATCAAGATTCTTTAGAAACGTTATTAGGCACATTTGCGAAAAGCTAAAAGTCAGAATAAATATACATGTAGGTTATGAATTTCCAGGATTCCATACACAGCCTCCAGTTAACCCTAAATGATCACCCCAGTAATGAAAAAGACGTCCAGTCAAAATTGTTGTCAGCCATGAATGATGATCATAACAACGCATCAGTCACAGGGACTGTGCAGAGTAGGTGAAAATTACAAACAAATACTGTATATTTGAGAAAATTAATATGAACGATTATTGCTCGGTGTTTATATCATTACACTTTTTTATTCACTTAAAAACCATGGAAAAACTAAAAATCATCACCAATGGCCATTTTATGTATAAGTCTATTTCTTGCCTCTCTCTCAGCTGCCGTGTGCCCTCAGGCATGCATGGGACTCCCAGGCAGAGATGGCAGAGATGGTACACCTGGGAATGATGGGAAACCAGGCAGAGATGGGAAACCTGGCGATGATGGGAAGCCCGGAAATGACGGAAAAGCAGGCAGAGATGGGAGACCAGGCAATGATGGAAATCCTGGCAGAGATGGGAAACCTGGAAGAGACGGTAGTCGTGGGACAGAGGGCAAACCAGGCAAAGATGGCAGAGATGGTATACCTGGCCAAGACGGAGAAGGAATCCAGGTGAGAATGATACGTAGATGATTTTTAATGTACATACACATCCTGTCTGTGCATGTATCCATCTCTTGTCTTTGTCGTCGTCGTCGACGATGTGTATTTTCAAAGATAAAAATGTATATGGAGAAAAATAAAATACAGGTTCATTTCAAAAATCAGCTGAATCGGACCAAGTGGCTTATGTGTCACACAGATGAGTGAATTTATTTGTGTTGCTGGTAAATTCTCATTTGGAAGATATTGGGGATATATTTAGTAAAGAGTTTGGTCACACTTTTATCTTTTATTATAATATTAATTTTTTCTTTGATTTAGCTAAAGTAAAATAGAAAGCATACCAAGGGCAGTGTTATAAGGGTTCACAAAATTAATTAATATTTTGTGTTGTTGATAGGGTCCTCCCGGTCCCGCTGGTCCACCTGGTCCTTCTGTGACAGACGACAGAATCAAACAACTTATTCAAGATCTAGGTACACTTTACGCTTCTTTACTTTAAAGATGATATTGTCCAACGGTCTGCATGGACCGTACCACAATGGCTGTTTACGTATCCATAAAAATTACTCTTCAATTGGTAAAAAATTGGTTTCCATTTGAAAATGTTAAAACATAAGACATGCTGACCGTTGATATTGCAAAATGTAAACCATCTAAAATAAATTCCAAGATAACGACACTCAACAATTTGCGTATTTTTGTATTGTTTTATAGGTTTACCACCTAATACGACAGGTGGCGGATCAGTGTACACGAGATGGGGGAGAACTAAGTGTGGTGTCTCTTCTAAACTTCTTTATGAAGGTAAGAACTGCATAAGCAATTACAGTCACGCGGTTTTAAAATTGAACCATTTCAAAAATGAAAACATAATTTTTAATGGATTGTTAACCCATAATAAATTACTTTGGCTGCCATTTCATTAAGGCCTAAATCATATAACTTCCTCCTACATATACTGCATTGTAATCATCGCTGTTGCCTTTTTATTTTTATATTAGGTTATACTGCTGGTTCCTTCTATGCTCAGAAAGGTGGGGCTAGCAACTACATTTGTCTCCCTCACGACCCACAGTGGGGCAAATACCAAGATGGTCTCCAGACTTCTGGCAGTTACATTTACGGTACAGAATACAAAATGGGATACTACACCAATGATCCTTTCCAGAGAATCAATGTTGGAGGCAAGAATTTCAAGGACCATGATGCTCCGTGTGCTGTTTGTTACACCCAGAACCGCACCAGTCATGTTATGATTCCAGCCTGGAAGACATGTCCTGCCGAGTGGACACTGGAATATCATGGCTACTTGGTTGCCCAATACTATTCGCAATATAGAACTGAATTTGTCTGTCTTGATGAGGCTCCAGAAGCAGTCAGAGGAGGAGAAATCAACAGAAATGGTGCCCTTTTCTATGTAGTTCAAGCCAAATGTGGTCAAGCTCTCCCATGTCCGAATTATGTTGAAGGGAGAGAGCTCACCTGCGTTGTGTGCTCCAAGTAGGTGAAGTGTGGTTAAGTTGTCACGCAATTATGTAACTCGTGGCAGTTTGCAATCATTACAATACCCTTATGCCATGAAGTAATGAGAGCATTCAAGACAATATTCAGAGCTCTCTCTCCCTCTCTCATAATGAGTTCTCAATATATCCAGATTATATTGTCATTACACGGAAGGTTATCTGTACCTAGACTTGCGCCAACATTAAACTGTATGCCAATTACCAATTTTTACTGTACTCTGGTTGCACAAAATGAAATTCGGTTTCCATTTCTGATGGGGGTGGTTAATTCAATAACATGGAATTTGATCAACAGTTTTCAGTTATTTGGTTTTAACAAAAATAATACAATACTGGGCAATATTCCTACTCGTGTATGTTGATTTCTCTTATTTTTGGCAATTTGTTTCTTTGTTTGTGTTACCTCCACTTCACTAGATGATAAAGAACTGGTATTTTACGTATTTTAAAACAATAATGTTGCCGAATCTGGTGCCACTTATGGATGATATTCAGATTAAAAATAATTAAGCTAACGACCTATATTCAGAAGATCTTATATTGAGAAACCAAAAGCATAAAGTAAGCAGTGTTTATCTCTCATGGGATCCCTTAAATGAAAGAATGCATAGGGTATATAGGCTACATGTGTACACTGTGCGTATTTTATGTAACTGTGAAATTTCAAAAGATTTTTTCCTGTAATGTCACATTCAAGCAGATAATAAAACTTTACTCTTACACCATACTGCCAATGAAATTTATTTTTTAATCTTTTGCGATAAATATGCTGAGTTCTTTAACATTTAGGTTACCCTACAACGATGATAGGTTTAAGATTGTAAGAAAAGTACAGAGAAGGGTGTAATAATCTGCCTGCGCTATAAAGTTGCCAGGTCATTTTTCTCCATTTCTGCCACATGACACGCAGACGTGATTGTCTTGTATGCACTACGTACAATCGCTTATTTTAGCAATTCAAATTTTTGCACCCCCTCCCCCAAACTTTAAGCATTTTGATCATCTGATTAGAAAAAATACTTAATTTCATTGATAAGTCTATTTATAATCAAGTTCCTTTAAACCATACTCTGGTTTCCTCCTTCCCTACCCCAGCATCATTACGTTCACTTGAATGGATAGGTACAAAGAGCAAAAAGCCGCTTGAAACGATTTTTTTAAAATTCTGTAGATTTTCTACGTGCCACTTTGTTGCTACTGAGTGAAGAAATAAATCTGTGACACGCACGTAACCGAATCTTCAGATTGGTCTTCAATTCACAATTCATCAAAATAATTCAAGGAAAAAATCTGATATTTGTTGTTCAGCGACACGATAAAAATATTAAGACCTTTCCAAGGTGCATTGCCTCTCAATTCACTGTACAAATGTTATGCTCACCAGGGGCCCTACTTATAATAACTTGGCCCTGAAATCTGCTGCATGCTTTAGAGTTTATTATAAGTTATGCTTACTAGGGCCTGCATATAAAGTAGCGCAACCCTGAATCTTAACCATAGACCCAATCATAATAAGACATGTTGGCACTTATCAAAGAATACTGTTATCAGTTTCCAGTCTGATGAATTTCAAATCATTTATTCTGTACATTTTACTTACAACGTGAAAAACGTTCAGATGATTTCTTCAAATTTCATTTTGAGAAATAAGCATCTCTAGGAACAAATGATTTCACCAAGGGTGGCACATGGTTTAAAAAACACAGTAGATGAGTTCAGAACTTATCATAGTGTAAATCTGTTTTTGCCTTTTTTATTTTATTTATTTATTTATTTATTTATTTATTTATTTATTTATTTTGCTCGGGAACTTCTAACCTATCATAGTTGACTCTATAGACGCGCTTTTGCTCTAATTCATTTAATTCATATACATGTACAATCAACACAGTGATTGTAATGAATCTTTAAAATATTTCTAGACATGGTATCTGTTGACTTATACATTTTACACATTTACATAAGATTTTTTTTAATCACATTAATGTGAAGTTATCCTCCACTTTACATATTTGCAGAAAGAAAAAAGAAATCGAGTTAAAAATACTCAATGAAATCTAAGGGTGGGATAAAAAGGCCTACACGCTGTGACATCCAGTTATCACAAACTGTCCAATTCATTTGATATGCAACTACTGGTATATAAATGTCCTCTTGGTTTGATTCAACATTATGCATTGACAAAGTAGAGCTGATTAAAAGAAAACAAGAACATGATCAACTCGTCTAAACAAAACACTATCTCAATTCATCAATGATATCTTGTTCCATGCTGGGTTCTACACAATATCGACCTTAACATTTTCGTTCTAAAACTAACTCCAGTAGGTGGACGTTTCACATGGCATTCATTAACTAAACCAGACAACACTGACCCACCCACCTGTTCTTCTGAACACCTGCTCTTCACCTGATCTGAACCCTGGCTCCATTAAACAAGCGAGGATACAAACTCTTTACTTACTTCAATTAGAGTGCATTCCCAGAGATTAAGATCGATCCAGCCGGATCGACCTAACTCCCTGGGGGTTCACGCTAAATTGCAGTCAGCCGAGCGCGCACGCCAGTTAATTACCCCCTTACAGCTTTTAGTAGGCGGGACAGACGCTTCAGCCGGCTAAGAGGACAGTGAGACTTCCCACAGGGATAGATCGATCTAAAATCTGTGGGAATGGGGTCTTTGTCTTAAAACATTTTGGTTAAATCGTTCCTGTTTAGAACTTGATACAACCCAGTCAACTTAATCTTTTGCATCTAAATATGTTCCTTTATTTTTCTTTCTCTTATATCCTAGTTAATGGAGAAAAAGACAAATAGTGAGTAAACATCTACCGTTGCTTTGACGTGGCAACAGTGTCAATCCGAAAATTTTTCAGTATGGCCACTACTGCTATTGTATTTATGTTAGTTGCGATCTGGCATCTTGGAGGGACAAAAGATGTTGATGACACTGACTTTAACAATCTCATGGATAGGGTTCTCAGCTTGGAAAGAGTGCTTCAGGCCCGGGGCAACAAGAATGCAAAATTACAGACAGATATCAAGCTAATGAAAAACGAAAATCAGCATCTTAAGGTATTGTAAACAGTCCATTGTATTTAATTCACAATAATAAATTCATTTTGAAAGATCAACTTAACTGATAAGTGATATATCTGTCATTAAATCCAATCAAGATTCTTCATATATGCAGGTGCTATATGCACAGACATTTGCGAAAAGTTAAAAAACATTTTAAAAACTGATCCTCATGATTTTCCAGGATTCTATGAACAGCCTCCAGTCAATCCTAAATGATCACCCCAGTGATGAAAAGGACTTCAAATCAAAATTGTTGTCACCAATGAATGATAATCATTATAACGCCGCATCTGGCACAGAGACAATTCAAAGTAGGTGAAATTTAAAATATATGTAATTATATTGTTTAATTTGAAGAAATTATTGTGATTTAGTATATGCACTTTGCGGGTAATGTCCAAATCCATACCATGTTGTACTTGTATTATTAGCCTTATAACTGAATTCATGATTTTGTAGGAGTATCGACTGCGTTCTTTGGTTCCTTTTTTATTATTTAATACAAAATTAAACAGAAATCCATACTTTGAAGTGATTTTATTTTTACCTGATTGTCTGATAAAGTTATTTTGAAGTCGCTTTACAAAAAAACTCGGCGTTTGTATTACAATACTGTTTTATTTTCTTAAAAAGCATAAAAAATAATAATCAGAACTAATGGCAAATTTTAAATAATTCCTTTTTTGCCCTCTCAGCTGTCGTGTGCCCCCAGGCATGCAGGGGACTCCCAGGTAGGGATGGTAGAGATGGTACACCTGGGAATGATGGGAATCCAGGCACAGATGGGAATCCTGGCGATGATGGGAAGCCCGGAAATGATGGAAATCCTGGCAGAGATGGGACGCCAGGCAATAATGGAAATCCTGGCAGAGATGGGAATCCTGGCAGAGACGGTAATCCTGGAACAGAGGGAAAACCAGGCAAAGATGGCAGAGATGGTTTACATGGCCAAGACGGAAAAGATCTCCAGGTGAGAAATTGGGAATATGATATTTTATTGTACAGACACATTTTCACTGTACATATTGCCAACTCCTGTGCCCGGCGTCGTCATTTTCAATGTATGACTTTAAAACCCCATGGACCTGAAACCATATGGTTTATACGTTTTCCTGGAAGTAAATATGTTACCTGTTGAAAATGGAGGTCTTTATGTTGTTAAAATTGTGTTTTATGGCAGAAACCCATTTTTTTTATTTTTCACAAATCGGCATATCTAGTGAATAACTTTGAACTCTCGTGGGATTAAAGGCCTATTTCAGTACCTTATTCTGAATGACTTTGTTATCTTTGTGGCATGATTAAAATTTGGCGGTGATAATGTTGTTGATCATTATATAATATTGCATCCATAATAGACAAAATGACCTATTTTTTCTTCCTTTTTTCTATATTATATTTTCACACATAGCAACTGTGCTGGCTTGTTTTAATTCACTTGATTTGCGTTTCCTGATAATTCGATAATTCATTCATTTATCAAGATTTCACCCATTAAGAGCACGAAAGTTAGTGTCAAGTTTGTAGTTTCGTGTTTTTAACGATTCTAACCAACAAGTGCCACGGGAGATGCTCGAACGGTGACACGCTTTCAACAGTGACGACCACGGGTCGATTGAATTCGTTGCACTTAAAACCCGGTCCATAGATTTTGCCATCTACCTCACCTTTCCCGCTCCCCCTCAATTGACTCTTGTTAAGCCACGTATTTTACACTTCCTTTAAATAATTCGAATTTTAGGTACAAGTAAGGGAACATAACCTTCGTGATGTATACCCCCGTATGTCACACACACATGTGGGTTAATTTGTGGCGCTGTGGAGTTCTCATTTGGAAGGCATTGGAGATATAGTTATTATAGAGTTTGTAAGACGTTTACTTGAGTAAAGTGCTGAATGTGAAATAAAGGGCATTGTTGAAAATGTTCACAATAATTGATGTTTATTTTGTGTTGCTGATAGGGTCCTCCCGGTCCCGCTGGCCCACCTGGTCCTTCTATGACAGACGACCAAATAAAACAACTTATAAAAGAACATGGTAAACTTTCTTTTTCTTGTTTGAGCTATATGTATAGTTGATATTGTCCAACATAAACCTTTTTCATGTGCATAGACCAAAGCATCTTTAAAAATTATGAGTAATCGAAAAAATAAGTTTTCTGTTGAAAACGTTTTTCACATGTTCACCATCTGATATAATCATTAGAAGATGACGTTAAACAACTTATAAAATTGCAGATTGTTGATTTTTTTCTGATAGGTTTACCACGTAATACGACAGGTGGCGGATCAGTGTACACGAGATGGGGGAGAACTAAGTGTGGTGCCTCTTCTAAACTTCTTTATGAAGGTAAGAACTGCATAAGCAATTACAGTCACGTAGTTTTTAAATTGAACCATTTCAAAAAATGAAAACATAATTTAACTGGGTTGTTAACCCATAATAAATTAATTAGGGTGCCATTTCATTAAGGCCTAAATCATATAACTTCCTCTTACGTATACTGCATCTACACATCGCTGTTGCCCTTTTTTATTTTGTAGGTTATACTGCTGGATCCTACTATGGTCAGAAAGGTGGGGCTAGCAACTACGTCTGTCTCCCTCGCGACCCACAGTGGGGCAAATATCAAGATGGAATCCAGAATTCTGGACCTACCATTCACGGCACAGAGTACGAAATGGGACACTACTCCAATGATCCTTTCCAGAGGACCAATTTTGGAGGCAAGAATTTTAAGAACCAAGATGCTCCATGTGCTGTTTGTTACACCCAGAACCGCACCAGTCATGTTATGATTCCAGCCTGGAAGACATGTCCAACCGAGTGGACGCTGGAATATCGCGGATACTTGGTTGCCCAATTCTATTCGCAATATAGAACTAAATTTGTCTGTCTTGATGAGGCTCCAGAAGGAATTAGAGGAGGAGAAAAAAACACAAATGGTGCTCTTTTCTATGTGGTTCAAGCCAAATGTGGTCAAGCTCTCCCATGTCCAAATTATGTTGAAGGGAGAGAGTTGACCTGCGTTGTGTGCTCCATGTAGGTGAAGTGTGATCAAATAACATGCAATTTTGTGACTCGCAACAGTTTGGAATCTTTAAAATATTATTTTCACCATTGGGTCATGAGAGCGTCCCAGCTAACACAGAAAGCTATTAAAACGTTGCTGTGACGTTTCCCCCCCCCCCCCTTCTTTCTATTTTTTAAAGTTATCATGATGATGCATCTATGAAGTTCTACTTTAGGATCACCATTATGATAACTTATTAATTTCTTAAAGATCTATATGGTTTTTGATTATGATTATATAAACGTTATGGTAAAGTTATAAAAACGTTTTGTGTATGTTGGGATTCGCCACAATATCCAGAACGTTTTCTGTTTCCCTTTCTTCTTTTCATCTTTCATTCTTGTGCTCTCTCTCTCTCTCTCTCTCTCTCTCTCTCTCTCTCATATTAAGTTCATACTGTATTCAGATCCATAACCTGGTATTTTAGACGCCATGCTGCTATCATTCCAGAAAAAATACAAGTAAAAGGCAATGATAAAATCACGCTAAATATCATTTTCTCGCAACCCAATATAATGATACATGTATATCTGACCCTTAGTGTTTACATACAGCACCTGGAAAAAACTCAACACAGCATGTTGTGTAGGATGTAAAGAATGATAAGCAAACATGCGGAGTAGTTATTGTTATTAAACGGAATGTCATCTGTACCCAGACTTGCGCCAACATTGAGTTGTATGCCAAATTTACCACATTTTACCGTGCTCTGGTTGAGCAAAATAAAAGTCGATTACCACTATCCTTTTTTAGTGGAGAGACCATTTAGTTATTTCAAAAACGTAAGTTTGTCCAACAATTTTAGTTATTTGACTTTTACAAAATTTATACCATTTATCATGGCCAAAATTCTTACTAGTGGGTTCTAATTTTGATAATTTGACAGTGTTATTTCGCGCTTCACCAAACGATTAACATATTTTAGAACTATAATGTTGCATAGTCTGGTGCAGTTTATGGACAATATTCAGATTTAATTATTAAACAAAATTAAGCTAACGGGCTATACTCAAAACATCTGATATGGACTAACTTTATGTGAGAAGTTTCCATATATTAAGCAATCATTGTCTCTTATGGAAACTCTTAAATTAAAGAATGTATACATTGTGCAAATTTTGTGTTAGTATGGAATTTCAAAAGATCATTCAACTGTAATATCACTTTCAAGCAAATAATAAATGTTTCTTTGAACACTACTTTGCCAATGACATTCATCTTTTACCTAATCTATATATAGTGTTCTAATATAATAATGAGGTTACCCTTCAACGATGATGGATTTATGATTTTAAGAAAAAAAACAGAGAAGGGTGTAATAATCTGCCTGCGCTATAAAGTTGCCAGGTCATTTTTCTCCATTTTTTTTTCCACATAACACGCAGACGAGGTTGTTTTGTGTGAGCTATGGATTCATGTTACCAGTTAATATGTTTGCAACTCCCCCCCCCCCCCCCCCCCCCCCCCCCCCCCCCAAAAAAAAATTTTTTATACTGGCAAAAAAATTTTTTAAAANCGTATCTCCCACACAAGAAATGCTGACAGCAGAATCACGCTCTGTAAATAGGGCAATACGACTGCGTTTGATTTATTGTGAGATGAGCTACAGTGAATTAAGCAGAAGATCTATTAAACAGTAGATGTAAAGTAACCATTATGTTAATGAAGGTGACCAAGGCATTTATTTTTTCACCCCCCCCCCCCCCCCCCCCCAACCCCGGCCCCAGAAAAAGAGATTTTTAATCGTGACAAGACAATTTTTTACATTATTTGATTGACAGATCTTTTGGCGATCGTTTTCTTTCAAATCACACTGCGGTTCCCTCTTTCCCTACTTCCCTGTTCATTCTCCAGTGTCGTCACCGTGCCACTTTGTTGCCACTGAGTGAAAAAACTAAATCCGTGTCACGAACGTAATTGAATCTTTTGATTCATCTTCAGTTCACAATCCATCAAAATATTTTCAGGAAAAAATATGTTTTCAATCACATTTGTCAAACTAACAAGATCTTACCGATCTCGCAATACGCTGTTCTTATTCATGCTCACTAGTAGCCCTATATAAAATAACCAAGCCATGAAATTTGCTGTATGCCGTATGCTTTATTGTTAAATTATTACTTATGCTTATTTGGGGCCTACAAGTACATATAATATACTAAAGACATGAACAAACTTATTGAAGTATCCCGTTATCAGTTTCCACTTTGGTGAATTTCAAATTATTGATTCATTCTGTACATTTTATCAGCAAGATGAAGTTGTTTATTGTAACTGAAATACTCAAATTTCATTTCGAGAAAATGTTTATCTTACAGGCACACAGGATTTTAACAAAGCAGTGAGGGTGACGAATTGTTAAAAAGTTGCATCGCTTAATTTTGCTTTGAAAAGGTACATGTACAATGTCATGTAACACAAAAGAAGAGCTGGGAGAATTTTATTATAGTATAATTTGTTTTTGTTTGTTTGTTTGTTTTTTTCGTTTTGCTCGTAATACCGTTTTTGGAAGGTAGAATAGGGAAAGTAGGATACCTTAGCAGTGCCCCCCTTTCAATCTGTTATTGACCATGTAGGCACAGGGCTTCAAAAAGTTTCCACGCTCCTATTCGAATAATAATTGTTTGTTTTACCTACTTTCCTTTGCAAGTGCAAATATGATAGTAAAGAGGGTAACAAAATGAAAAACAGGATATGGATTATTAGTATTCATTTCTTTATTTAGAAATCTAGTGCAAACGGACTCCAGGAGGGACAAAAAAGCAATGTGAAAAAACAGTTATGCGGTGGGTGTGGCAACCGACAGCTTTTTCGTTATACAAAAGGAGTCAAAAATTATCAACGGTGCCTATAAAAAAACAACAAATAAAAAATGGCAAGTATCACTTCTTAAACAAACAAATAAACAAAAAATTAATAAACCATAAAATGAATCTTTACTGAACTCAACATAGTGCATATAGAATGTGCCTTGCTCAACACCACGTCGCACCTAACGCATTGACGATGTGGTTTTTATTTGTATTTCTCACAAACTATGGTAGAGGTCGAGAAGCTGGATAATGACCGATTATTGTAGAAATTGATTGTTTCGCAACGTTTGTTTAAGTCGACCAATCTTATGACGAAAATTAAATGGCCCCATGTTATTTTGATAGCGACACTTGCCATTATATTACTTTGAGATAGTAACAATGTGCAAGTACGTTGTAAAAAATTTTACAGGTAAATTCCTTTGCCTGGGTCCTGGGCTGTATTGCGTGGCAGATGTTACGTTTTTTTTTTCCTCCATTACGGTATTTATCTGTCGGTATTTATATAAACCGTTATTTGGACGTATAGGTATGTGGCTTTATCGAGACATCATATCTATCTGTAGGTAGTTTATATTAGGACGTGGGTTTTTCGGTATTTATTTCTTGTTTAGCGGCACTTGAAACCAAAGGTACTCGGATTCAACTATTTTATTATCTGTCTCTCTATATAGGTGACAGGTTTATGGGTTCATCCATTTATCGTTTTAAAAAGAATGAACAACATTCACCTTTTTCCTCTGGCGTTAAGTTTTGTGGAAGTAGTTAATTGTTACGTGGAACTAGTTTATTTCAACCAAAAAAGTGAACTTCAGACAGGTCTTCATGTATTTTGGCCGTGAACAGTTTTAGTCCCAACCTCTCACCAAAAATGGAACACACCTGTTGTAATTTGCATAATAATAAGTTGCTCATCGCTAGTGAGAGCTGTCTTCCATTATAGTCACTTGGCAGTTAGACACAGTTGGGTGAGGACGCAACAACAGTTTGTGTGGCGCAGTCGCAAGGTCGAGTTTTATGAGGGAGTGAAAGCAAATACATCGAGTTGTAAGTATCACTACTTTTTAAGTAACCTCCGTCATTGAATACAACAAATATATAGCAACTCGGCTCTTTGTAATATTAGGGCTTATGTTCAGCGTTACTTGTACACTGTATCTCACTCAGAACATTAGAATTAATATATCAGTTCAGAATAAGTGTTGCAACGCTTTGGTGCAGCAAACGTACAGGAGGAAAGGAGCTCTCAATTGATGATGAAATCTTAAGTTTGCTTGAAAGCTTTTTAGCTCTGCGGGATTTTTATTTCTGTTTGAACATTTTTGTATGACCTTGAACAATGAACAGGGCATTTGTGACCTTATTCAAAATGGCTGTTCACGTAAATGTAAGCAATACCGCAAAGAACAATGATCAATGCTTGTTCAACAGTTTAAAGACTGTGCCCCTCAACGTTTGCACCAATTTATGGTCAAATTCTTTCAACGATTCAAACTTCTCTCTTGACAACAATCACGATGATTTTAAGAGAAATAAAAATCCCTTTTATGAAAATAATTTTATGGTTAATATTGTCTCTGCTCAGTTTTTGTCCTTTTTCTAGTGTTAAACCTGTTGTTGTACATTTCTACTTTTGAAGATTTTGTGTACTTGATTAAGGTGTGTCATGATCAGCAATGCTGTGACCCTTATGTTTCAAGCTGTAAACTATTATTGTTTTTTGTTTGTTTGTTTTGTGTGTGTGTGTGTGTGTGTGTGTGTGTGTGTGTGTGTGTGGTTCGATTGTTTGTTTGTTTGTTAGTTTGTTTGTTTGTGTCTTAAACAAGTGTGAGGTTTCATGTAGTTATAATAGTTCTCACATTTGTTTCAGGTGGGACTTGGGCTACCTGTCTTAATTAAGATTAAAATGCTCTGAAAGATCTTATTGTGAGGTAAGTATGCTGTATATAACACAAAGCACACGCACAGTAGCTTACCAGTTGCTCATTTCACAATGATTAATAGAACTTTTTACACAGTTTACCTGTCGTATCCAGTGTACCGTTTGGTTAACATCCATGACACCTTTATTGAAACTTGATTGTACTGGCATCCAATTTATTTGCAATATAGAGAATTTGTAAATGAGATCTTTTGCACTTCTCGGAATCCGTCAAAATCATATACAACCACAATACGTGTTGCATAATGATTATAGATATTATTACGTTCAATAATATCCTCTGAAAATGAAAGAAGTCGTGTTTTCAAGGTTTTCTTTTCAGCAAGGTAAAATCATTAAGATTTATCATTAACTCTTTTTAGACTATATATTTGTCTCAAGGCAGCCTCGATTTGAAACATTGATACTAATCCTGAACTTAAGACAATAAACACTCTCAACAAGTCAGTTATAAGTGTCCCTCCTCTGTAATATTTACCTCCGCCAAGAGATTGTTTTCACCCCTGTGTGTTTGTTTGTCTGTCTGTCATCAACATAACTCAAAAAGTTATGGACCGATTTTGATTAAATTTTCAGGAACTGTCAGAAGTAGGCCAAAGAACAGATGATTAGATTTTGTTGTTGATCCGGATCAATAATCAATCAATAATCAATAATAATCAAAAATTGCTGCCTTGGCGGAGGTCTGCGCTCTTGGAGTGCATTTCTAGTTAAAAATATGATAGTCGTACTTTTAAGGTCTGTCCGTGTAGTCAAAATTGTGAACATCCTTTTTTTGTAATTTCAGGAGCGCACCGAGCTACTGCACAACAGATACCTGCAAGCCACTAAGCCCTTAGTTCACATGGAGGACCTAAAAGCCCATTAATGCACCTATTATATTCAGACTTAATAAAATACTTTTTAAATTCTACGAATTTTACTTTTGATTTGAAATTATGACGATGAAGATAAAAGTGATTATAAGGGAAGTAGATTATGATAATTATAGATGTGATAATTGTTTGAGATCTCGACGATCGTGCGATTTTTAAATTGAACCTTAAGAAATCTATAAATGAAATTGTTTAAAAGCTTTGTAAATATGCACAATTTGTAATGGAATTTAAGCGTTTGAAATATCTTTATCCACTAAAAGAATGTCACTTAAAGTTTTATTCCAACAACCCACGATGATGCTTAAATTATACATTTACAATATTGTATTTTGAAAATCCATTCTAAAAATTAGAGTTAAATAACCCTTGGAACAAATCCAATCGTCCTCCTGAATAACATCTATTTTCCAATTACCTTAATGTAGTACAAACGTCCATTTTGACGTGTTCTGGCGTTTGCTACGGAAAATTGATTTAAAATTGACGACTTCTTCAATACTGAATAGAATAATGAAAAAGGGAGATATCCTGACGCAAAATTTATGTCAACAGTTTAATTTGTCCAAAAATTGAGCCTTTATTTACTGATTGTATAAGATTGACCACATTTTTCCATTCCTGTTCTTTGAAAAAGTTTCCTTCCTCAATTTATTTTTGAAATATATACCTAATTCAATCGTGTTTTAAGGTTAATCTTATATTCTTATTCCCCATAATGTATAAGCACAGTAAAATGTAAGGTTAACTGTTAAATTTTGAATAGCAAATATTAAGGCCTAGTAGTTTCTTAAATGCTTTTCAAGTTGATATCCTTTTCTCCTCAAAACATTGCTTTTTTAAATAAATTGTCCTTTTCGTGTGCTATAGTTCCATTATAATTTTCTCCTTTCTTGTTTCCTCTTATTTTTGCTTTTGATGGTGTTATGTGACAAATTACACCAACCCCACCTAACACCCCTCATTTTAATGGACTCTCCCTACCTGTCACCCCTCAAGAGGAATGGACTAGCCCAACCTGATACCCCTCCATTGGAATGGACTCACCCAACCTGCCACCCCTCCTGTGAAATTGACTCGCCCCACCTGCCACCCCTATAGTGAAATGAACTCTCCCCACCTGTCACCCCTAAGTGAAATGGACTCACCCCACCTGCCACCCCTCCTGCAAAATTGACTCGCCCCACCTGTCACCCCTCCAGTGAAATGGACTCACCCCACCTGTCACCCCTCCTGCGAAATGGACTCGCCCCACCTGTCACCCCTTCTGCAAAATGGACTCGCCCCNATCAAAGGACTTACATACGATCCATTTTTATTTGCCACTTTAAATTACGGACATGTAAAAATCGTTTTGGGTAGCGTTACTTTTTTGTACTGGAATTTAAAAACTATTTTTCGTGCTTTTTTACTCAGAGAAATCGATACCTATAAATAGTGCCCAAATAAATTAAAGATTCAAAATTTGTCAGTTTTTCCATTCAACTCTAAAATATCATCTATACTGTATATTTGTATATACACATTACGGTGTATGATATAGGCCGAGACGCAATGCTGAATTTTGGCAATTTGCACTGGAATGATCTGCACGCGTGACCAGAACCAACCTTGCATCTTTCTCAACGTGAACTCAATGTTTATTCAATTTGCACGACATCTAAAAGCAATTTTTTAATCTGAAAATTAAGTAATCACGTAGATAATATGTTCTGAAAATTCAATACTTATTCAATGTTTATTTCCGTCTTTGAGAGCAAACCGAAAACCGCCCAAAAAGTGCATTTAATTTATAAATTGTTCTTCAGTCTGAACAGAAAATAACACCAACAGTGTAGTTCAAAATTTTACTTTTACTTTCAAGTTTGAACATTATGATATACACATACTGAAAATAACATTATGGCGTGTAAAATAATCACACAACTGTAAAATGAAATGTTATCAGAGAGAAGCTAAATGGGTTTCAAATGGAATCACATGCATCCGAGCTTGTCTCGAGGTATCCTTTAAAAAAAACCCTGATCATCTCCTAGTGTAAAGTCTGATAATGAAAATGATTGATTTCTGCGTACAATTTGAGTTTAATCTTTGTATGCTCAAAATATGCTCAAATATGATACATAGGCCTAATTTTTTTGGAAATCATTGTAAGAACATGCACAGTATTCACCATGTTGCATGTGCGACAGGTGTTTGAGTGCGTGTTTAAGCGTGCGTGTGTATGTGTGTCTGCGTCCGGTTCCAAAATGCGACCAGAAGACACTCAGACGCACGTGCATTTTGCAGGATCTCGGCAAAGGCGTTGGCGGTTCTGAAATATCAAAATAACATTTTACAAGCAATAGCGTAAATATTGATATAATATTCCTATGCTATAAAATTCTAACTAAGTTAAATTCACTAAAATGGAACGATTTACATTCATGTTTAAAACACTGAGGCTGGCTGAACAACAAACGGAAGAAAAATCGACATGTAAATGGTATGTAGTTCAAGTTTCAAAATCCTTCGATATTTTTCAACAAATATTTATAAAAATTGTGCAGTAAATTCTATTCCTCTCTGGAAGGAATGACAAGGAATACCCGGTAACAAAATCAATTCTATTGGAAAGTGTTCTTAAATTAAAGACTACTGGTAACGAATGGAGCGATTCTTCCAAAGAACGGATTATTACAACACCGATTAAGGCAAAGTTTTACAGTCTAAAAGGCTGAAATTAATTAGATAATATAATTGAAATATGCTCTAATGCATATTTCAGTTTTTCGTGAACAGCAAATTTTCTTTGATGAATGGTACCCACCCTGCATGCTTCTACTTTATGTAAAAGTATTAGGTTACTTTAAAAACTCCGAAAAAAAATAGCTGTTGGATTTTAAGAAATTTGTCATTTCAAAAGCTTTTTTTTAAATTCCCTCTCGTTCATCTGCTTCAGTTGCAAACATGAAAACGTGATTTTAAAATTCAAACGAAATACAGACCAGTTTCTGATGTAGGCGTTTTAGAAATACTATATAACTTCATACGATTTTGTGTCCGTTGGTAGAGTAGCCTACTTTCAAACACAGATTAACAACGTGCATGTAGCTATAGAATTCCCTTTGGATTCTAATTAAGGTCTACAACGTTTCTTAAATCGAGTTAACTTTCCGGCAAACTGGAGGTTTAGAACACGCAATATAATATGATATTACGTGTACCCGGTAATCTGAACTAGTTAAAACACCAAAAATTAAACTGTAAGAAACATCCTTGGTACCAAAAGCATTTTATTATTATCGACAAAGAGCCCATTCTACCCATTCCGTAGCCTAAACGTATGAATTAAAACAAGCTTCTGGCAAACACTAAGGCTGCGTTCACATGAAAAATCCAAATTCCAAAAAGCCAAAGCTATTTCAAACTCAAATGGCAAGAGGGAAGGAGTCCTTGTGCAAATGCAAATTTGCTCTGACAATTTATTCTGACTCTAGATTTACCTTAACGTCATTTTTACACGCTTGAAGAAGAAATTTTGCTCACAAGAAACATATACTTAAACCTTACGGGGACCCACCTTACATAGACGGTCCAACGTGCAAGCCAAATGAAATGTCCCTACTCTGCGACTTCATCACTCCTATATTCTGCGTCCTCTTCTTACAGGGTCCAACTGTCAAGTGACAAGTCAAGAAGACAGTTCTCACTGCGCTGAGCGCCTTATTGTTATGTAAATTGCATCACATACGGCACATTTTGGCAGAGGAGTTGCTGTTGTTATCATTATAACTGGAGGTTGTTGTTATCATTATAAATGAAGTTGTTATCATTATCAAGGAAGCGGCAAATATATAACGTTACAGATAACATTTAATTGATAAAATCAATTTTGCGCGCTCTTAGCTGATACAGATAATTCAACCATTAATTTATACGTGTCTTAAACCCCCTCATTGCAAATAAAATGCGCCAAGACCTAATGCTACCGGGTATGCCCACTCAACCTTTTCGGGATGTTATTGGTTTACACGGGGAGAGTTCGCTCACCTGTCTATTGTTATGTTAATGCTATGTAATTGACTCATTCTGGGAAAGGGGACATACAGTAGCGGTAGCTGTCACCACTGCCATATTTTCGTACACTATATATATAATTATGAGAAAATCACTGTAAAAGTCCTATTGTAGAGATCCTCCACACATCTATACTGAATTAATCAGTTATATTTAAATGACTGAGAACGTGAATGTGAAAAGATTAATATCATATGAACAAGATATTACAACACAATTTTAGGAAAAACTAATCAAACTAAATATACAAATACATTTGTTGAGGTAAAATCTGAGGCGGATCCAGGATGTTCAGAAGGTTGAAATTTTTTCCGCTTTTTTACTTCCACATTCTGCAGAATATGTATTAAAATTTAACAGGTAATTTTAATTGATATTGTATATTAACAAGGAAGGCCTGTGATATGTGGCACTTTCATGCCAGTACAGTCTAATTCTGATAAAACATCCATGCTTAGTTTAATTACAAGGTAAATGTAAAACACTCTATACATTTCATGTTTTATTTCATTGAAATGTTTTATTATCATCAAATATCTATTTCTTTTCCATCAAGTTATAGTAAGTTAAACTGTTCATATGCTGTAAAACACATTTGAAATAGATCTTCAAGTTACAGACAACTGATCTTGAAACTGCTTGAAAGTACCATAATAGTTTTGCTAGAAAAAGTTCCAGAAAATTTTTGTTGGCTTACTATAAACTAGTGCATACAGCCAGTGGGTGGCTAGAGGGTAACGAAATCCCATTTCAGGCCCGTAGCCAGGGGGGGTTCGGAGGGTTCGAAAGAACCGCCCCTTTTGCTGGGAAAAGGTCCACTCTGAGTAAAATTTGATCTAGGTACATGAAGTTTTTTATGGAAAAAGGTCCACTCTTTCAGAAAACGAACCCCCCTTTTGAAAATGCTGGCTACGGGCCTGCATTTCAACAGAAAAATCACAAGTTTGAACCTAGTGCAATGCCCTCCCCCCCCCCCCCACCCCCCCACACACACACACATGCACAATCCAGTATTCTCTTTAAGCATCAGAATCAAAAAGAGACTCATCAAAAGGAAGAAATCCCTGACAGTCAGCATATCCACAATGACACAGTTTTCTTAGGCTTACTACACAGTCATTTTCAGTGCTTTTTGGTACTGGTCCAGAAGAACCAGAGTAATTAAAACTCAACTCTTCCCCAGCAAAAATATCCCTAGAAGCAAAGAGTGCCAACTTTGGCACAGAATTGTCCACTCTCACTGGCACAATGTAAAGATTGGGGCCACAAGAATGGTTAATGAATCTTCCCACATTGCCAATCCTAGTAGGATCTATATATGTTGTTAGCACCTCATTTGGGGCCAGCTGTATATCCTCATTACTGGCCAAATGTACATGCATATTCTCATTTGGGGTAACATGCATATCCTCATTCAGGGCCACATGTATATTTCCATTTGCAGGCTCATGTCTATACTCAGTCGAGGCAACATGTTTACCTTCCTTCGGGGGCACATTACTATGATCAGCTTGGACTAAATGTATATGCTCTCGTAGAACAAATATGTAGTTCATGTCTGCATGTTTTAAAGCTTTAGTCCTTCGCTTGGCCTCTTCTTGGGTAAGGACTTCCCCTGCATATTCACAAACAAAATGATCCTTGGGAATGGTTTCAAGTGCGTATAAGCCAAAACCTTTATCACTATCTGTGTTGCGAACTTGAAGCTTGAACTGTACGCCTATTTGCACAATCCTGTTGGAACACTGAATACTGCATTTACACTCCCTATTGCACTCATAAACAGGTTTATCACACAGTGAGATTGTAGTACAAATTAACTGTCCTTCGTTGTTATAGGAAGGTCCAAATCTTTGAATACAAGGGCAGGTATCAGGTAAACACACTGAGTGGCAGTCACAGCCTTGAAACTGGGATACGAAGTCCTCTGTGTCTGTCCCTGGACCAGGAATATTGCATTTTGTGTACTGTAAATGAATTAGAAAAATCATTAATGATATCATATGCACAGCATCTACATGTACCAGCAGGATCAGTCTGGCTACAAAAAAAAAAAAAAAAAAAAAAAAAAAAAAAATTCAGGCAGCAAAGCTGTCAAATG